AAGTCAGAGTGACTTATTTCCATTGCCTTCACTCAGAGCATCATTTCTTCTAAAAATGGTGTTACATGAGAATGGGAGTGTTCTTCTTTATTTATTCTACCGTATCAATGTAGAGACAACTTGTATACAATGCAGCTTGTACACAAACTAGATGTGTACACCTGGTTTGTTTACAAAACTTGGGTGTACCTGGTTTGTTTACATATCTCTGCACCTGTCCTCCTCATGTACTGATTCTCTCTCTCTCACATTTATTCGTTTTATCTTGTTTACTCACCTCTGACCCTACATTAAGACTAAAAATATTTTAAGGTAAGTAATGAGTGAGCTGTATATGCCCGGTGGCCTGGTGGCTGAAGCTCCCGCTTCACACACGGAGGCCGGGTTCGATTCCCGGCGGGTGGAAATATTTCGACACGTTTCCTTACACCTGTTGTCCTGTTCATCTAGCAGCAAATAGGTACCTGGGTGTTAGTCGACTGGTGTGGGTCGCATCCTGGGGGACAAGATTGAGGACCCCAATGGAAATAAGTTACAGTCCTCGATGACGCACTGACTTTCTTGGGTTATCCTGGATGGCTAACCCTCCGGGGTTAAAAATCCGAACGGAATCTTTTCTCTTATCTCTTATCTAGAATATTGTGTGGGTGGGTTGGCCTGGCTGGCTACCATATTACACCACTTGATTTCTTACAATAAATACTACTTGTCTCATCATAGATTTAGACTACAATATTTTAAGGTAAATAATAAGTGTACTATATGTGTATTTTACTTTTTTTATGTTTTTAATGCCTAGTTATATTGCTAACTTAATATATGTTAGTGTAAATTTGTTAGCTAGTATTTATATGCATTTATAAGTGGAAAAAAGGGGTATTCCACTTCATGGCGATTTTCGGTTTACGGCGGTAGCCTGGAACCTACTGGGGCCCTACTGTATACTCAAAAATTCTAGCGGCTTTAAATCAAGTGGAAGAAAACTGGTTAGGCCCACATGTGAGAGAATGGGTTTGTGTGGTCAGTGTGTGCAGTATAAAAAATCTTGCAGCAAGCAGTGCATAATGAGAAAAAAAACAAAACTGACCGTGTTTTTGGATTAAAACACTGACTTTGAGGTGTATTTTCGTGTAGTTTTTATGCTTATATTCTCATTTTCATAGTCCATTTGATAGAATGGAAACATATTATAGAAATAGAGGTGATTTTGATTGGCTTTAATATGAAAAGGACCTTAAAATGGAGCTAAAAGTAGGGGAAATGTTTGATTTTTGCCAATGTTCAAGAGTAAACAAATGATGTCATTGTCAATAAATGTCCAGCTAGCCATTCTAATATGCAGTCATGAATGGGTTGACATTATTTATACAAATATTACAATATTTCAGTAGTCTGCATAACAGTAAATCTTCTATTTTTTGTTTGAATAAAATTCAAAATAGAAAGCAAGAGTAATATCAGAGGGGCCTAGAGATGTGACTGAAAAAGAAAGAAAATTTTTATTTTAGAGCCAGGAATGTCTGCATTGATCATTCTGGACCTATTTGAAATTGGCATATTTTTTAATTTGCGGGGAAATTGGCAATTGCCAATTTTGACCAATTTATTGGGTTTAAAATCGGTAAATGGGCAGTTTCTTGTATTCAATTGATAGAACAAATGGAGTTCTAAAGAAAAGCTATGAGTTTGGTTGACGGGAAATTGCCGAAAATAGGCTTAAAGTGGGCGAAATCGCCGATTCGTAAATATCGCCACGGTCGCTAACTTCGTGAGAGCATAATTCCGTAAGTTTTCCATCAAATTTCATATTTTTGGTGTCATTACCATCTGGAAAAAAGATTCTGTCATTTCATAAGAAAAAATGATATTTTTTTTTCAAACGTTTTTCGACACCAGGAAACACTTCAGGTTTGGGGTTGCGACAGTCAAAGGGTTATTGTGAAGTTGAAATCTTAAGCAATGGTGAAATTTATAAAAAAAGTCCATCATTTTTCTAAATTGCTACTAAATTCTCTGTAGCAATTTTGACCCCATTTTTATTTAACATAATAATGTTGTACAATTCATTGGATACTGTACTGTACTTTTATTCAATATGTGATAGTTGCTACACACATTATTGTATCATATGATTCTTTTAAAAACTGACCAAAAAAAAAACTTAAGAGTGCTAGTAGTACTTCGTTTATAAGTTTTTATTGCAAGTGTATTGTATACTGTAATGGGTTTAGTGCATTTTTTTCAGATAATGATAATCTCTCATTATATGCATTTTATTTTTTTGTTTTTCAGTTAATAAACAAATCAATGACAAAGAGAGATTTAGCTGCAGCATTGGAGAATCCAAACTTGTCCAGAGTAGTGGAAGAATGTCTGGTAGAGAGGGGCTACTAGGACTACGGGTTTTAGTGAAAGATTACCACTACACTACTAGATACTGAACCCGCACAATCCAAACCTTGTATAGGCTGCTTTACACATGTTGCGCATCAATATGAATGTTTTGAAGTGAAGGTTTATTCAAATCTATAAAAGAAAATGTATTATTTAAGTATTGTGCCATAGGAGTTTGTGTTTTATTTGGTAGTGAATAATTAACAGGTGCCTTAAGCAATTTATTACTTAATTTTTTCCAGACAGAAAGAAACACACTACCAAATAAACATTAACACAGTGACGGGAAATTCAAGGATTTTCAGCAAAGTTTTTTTTTTTCCTGATTATGGCTTTGTGTCTAAACAGCAGTAAAGGGTCCAAGTTGGTTTAGTAATCCAGATATATGCAGGTCAAGCAAAGAATGTGACAGAAAAGTGCAGTTTTGTGACATATATGAAATGGAAGATCAGAAACAAAAAAAATCCTAAAGGAAAATAATTGTAATGATAAAATTAATTTTGAGGTTATGCCTACGAGAAATCCTTTCTTATCCATGGAAATGATTTCAACACATTGACCAGTCATCATGATGAAGGAAGAGCAGAGCAGTGTGGTGAACAACAAAATGCCACAATCATTGACAGTAAATTTTGAAACCATCTGGGCCCCTGGAGAGCAGCACATCATCATCCATATGATTAATGTACTGGAGTCAGCCAAGAAATCTTAGTTATATGCATTTATGTTTTGACTTGAAAGGGACCTGCTGGATGCAGTTATAAGAGCAAAGGTTAGTGTGTGTGTATGCACGTGTACTTGCCTAATTGTGGTTTCAGGGGTCAATTCATAGCTCCTGGATCACTCTTCACTTTTGTATAGGTGCACTCTCCCCCTGCTCCATGAGCTTTCTCATACCTCTTTGTAAGCTGTGTATGGAGCCTGCCTCTACTACATCACTCTTCAGACTTTTCCCACTTCCTGACAACTCTGTGACTGAAGAATACTTCTTAACATCCCTGTGACTTATCTGAGTCTTCAATTTCCCAGTTGTGACCCCTTGTAGTTTTGTCCCATCTCTGGAACATTCTGTCTGTTCACCTTGTCAATTCTCTCAGTAGCAAAGAGGGGAAATGTATGAAAGTATAGTGGCACCAATGCTTTTATATGGGTATGAAGCATGGGGGGGTGAATGCTGCAGGATTGTTTTTTACCATCATTTCTGTCTTGAAAATCATTTTGACTGGCTGATTTCTTCCCTCACACATCCCCCTATTCTCTGAAAATTTATCAGCTCAGTTATGTCCTCCTTCCTGTTTGTTTGATGATATCTTCAGTCTCTCTCTCTCTCTCTTTTCTCTACCATCTTTCATCATATGTCCTCCCTTCATTTCCCCTGAACCCCCATGTATGAAGATTGACTTCTCCCTCTCCTCCTCCATTGCATCTCTGTCCTGTTTTATACATAGGTATTCCCTCCCTTATTATTTCCCGTATCTCCCATGACCTCCCAGTGTAGGGTGTAAACAACCATGAGGAGTTGAATGATAGCTCTAGGCCTTTTGTGTTTGCAGTTCAACCATCAGGAGCTTGCAGCATTGCGAAATGAGTAGAAATCTCAGCAGATTCACTGAGAATGACATCCAAACTATTGTATCTGTGCACCTCTGCAGAGAGTGATTATGTGTGAATGATGGTGAAAGCGTTGAAATGATGATGAAAGTGTTTCTTTTTTGGGTCACTCTGCCTTGGTGGGAGATGGCCAACATGTTAAAAACAAAATATACATATTATTTTACATATTTTTTATTTTTTCAACATGCTGGGCATCTCCCACCGAGGCAGGGTGACCCAAAAAAGAAACACTTTCCCATCATTCACATCACTCTAAAAGCAAATATCCCAAACCCCTCCTTTAAAGTGCAGGCATTGTACTTCCTACCTCAGGACTCGAATCCAGCTAACCCGGAATCCCCTTTACAAAATATTACCCTACTCACACTCAAAAGCTTGTTAAGTTCCAAAAACATTTGTTTCTACTCATTCCTATCTAACACAAACTAAAATTCACAATACTGTGGTTGAAATAATTCACAAAAAACACTTAATTAGGATAGGAAATTTATGACAACAGTTTGGTCCATTGTGGACCACTGTCAGTACAAATGTGTGAGAAAGAGAAGACAAGAGGAAGGGCAAGGACAGTTTGTAGTATTTGTCATAGTGGCAGTGGTAGTAGAATTAGTAGTTGTAGTTGACAATCTACCACTAGTTAACCTTATTACTGCATTGCTACTATATTATGGTTTATGCTACAAGTACTACTATTGCTAATTGTACTATACTACTATTGCTAATTGTACTACTACTACTGCTAATTATACCACTATACTAATTGTACTATTAGTACTACTGATTGTATACTGCTGCTAATTGTACTTTACTAGTACTAATTGTACTACTATGCTAATTGTATTACTACTAATGCTAATTGTTTTACTAAGTGAGAAACACTAGTGATTTGAATAGTATGTAAAAACATTGGCACAATTTCACTTGCTTGGTAAGTTCTTATTATCTATGGTTATTTTCCTGGCTGTTGTGGCATTTGCTTTAGTGTGCTTTGAAAGAAGGTCAGTGACATGATTCTCCAGGTCTTTTACTTATTTCTCGTTTTGATTGATGGTACAGTAATACTCTTGGCTAAATTTTGTGTACAGTATCTCTTCTGAGTTCATTCTTTCCATATCTAAGCAGCTGGAACTTATTACACTGAATATCGTGTTCTCCACAGCTGCTGCTGCTGCAGCTGTTGCTGCCACAACCATTACCACCACTACTACTACCTTCCCCTCCCTCCCTCCCTCTGTAGCCTTCTATGTTTTCCTCACTCATGATAATTTAATTGTCCAGGATGGACTGAAATATCATCTTAGGTTTCCTTTTCTAGGTACAAGTTATTTGCAAATGAATAAAATAGTTTTCAGTAAATTACTGTTTATTTGTTTTTATTTCATGTAGAGTAGAATATATGATGTGTACATTTCTCATATTGTTGCTTCCTCAGTATCGTGGTGTTAAGTGAAGGTGCTCTTAGAGAGGGGAATGGCAAGTTGTAGTGAGGCTGCCATTAATGTCCTTCATCAGCACAATATATTGTTTCGCTTCAGCACTCCTGCCCTGCTTATGCACCACAAATTTGCTGTAATAGATGCACCAGAGCAACACTCGGAGTCCTCTTACCATATGTATGATGTACTAACAAAGGTAACATTCAGTGCAAGATTCCTTTCTGCAAAATGTTCATCAAGAGGACACTTTTGATGGTGTATTAATGACAGGTTCATTTAATTATACTTGGAGTGCAGTTATAAGTAATCATGAAAATGTCATTATTACTAATCATCCACACTTGGTAAGCAGATTTGTAAGTGAATTTGAAAAACTCTGGGATAGTTCAGAAATATAACTTTAAAATAAGCTATAGTTAGTCTCAGGAAAATAGATTGGTGTTGATTGAGGTGTAGCACTTTTTGCAAATACTGAATTAAGAATAGTTACTATTGATGGATACAGGTCAACCATCACTAATCTGGTAATCAGTTATCGGTTTCATCAGTAATTTGGCACTAATTTCGGCTAGCATAATTTCAAATTTCATCATGATACTGACTCAGAAATTGTGCAGATTGTAAATCCACAGCAGCAAGCCAGTGGAGGAGAAAGCAGTGATGAAAATGAGATGTAGCAGTCTATTGATAGGTTAATTAAGTGTATTCTAACCAAACCACACTGTAATCCGGGCAAATCACTAATTTGGCACACTGCAAGTCCCAGTGATGCTGGATTAGTGGTGGTGACCTGTATATATTTTGAGATGCTCCTCTTTATTTTCATCTTTCCAGGGTCCAGACCCCTGATCTAAAATTGCTCTCAGGGTCAAGAATTAAAAAAAAATTCTTATGGATTAATACTAGTATATTTTGTGAAGTAATGAAACAACAAAAAATTTCCTTCAGTATTTACAAGATTATAGAGCTGTGAAGTTGATAGTAAATGACTGGCTGATGACATCACCACTGACTGCCAGAGACTGGAAGAGGAAAATCTTTGGGAAGGATAAGTGATGGAGGAGTTAAAGGAGATTTGTTTTAGACTTTGGAGAAGTAGGGACGCAAGGTGATGGTGTAGGTGTGGGAGGTTGTGTAGACATAGAAAGATGCGAGTGAGAAGATGAAGATGCATGGACAGTGGAGTTGATGAGGTAGGGGCTTGAAGCCCAGGACTGCAAAAGAATTAGATGCAGAGGTGGCTGTGGAAGTTGGGACGACAGAGGAAATCATGGAAGTAGATACCACGAGGATTGAGGTTGTCGAGTAACTCTAGAATATCCAATGTCGTCACTACTCTGCTGCCCTTACTTTACCTCCCTTCTTGCTGATGGACCCTCCTTTAACCCAGACTCTCGTTGACTTTTTGGACGCAGGTGATTTACTGCACAAACTTGATGATGATGACTCTAGCACTCCTCACAGCCCTTTCTACCTCGTCTCTTGCTACCCAATACCTCTACATCCTTCCTTGCCCTGCTATGCTGTATAACCCTTGTAGGTTTAGCATTTCTTTTTGGATTTAATAATAACTAAATAAGACAACTGTGGAAGTCTCACTTGCAGGCAGAGATGGGAGACTGCTATGGTTTAAGAGAAACCTTTCTCTTTGAGACAGTGAATTTCTCATTTCTTTAAGACAATTTGACAATGGAGAGAATAAGCCGGGTGAGCCTCATTACAATTAAATGGAGGGCTTACTGTATAATAATTACCAATATAGAAGTTATTTTTGTTTAGAATTTTTTCTTTTTTCCTGCCACAGTGTGGCAGGAGGTAATTGTGGCTGTTATAACACAGTATACATATAACAAAATGGTACACAAAAATGTATATCACGAATATTTTATAATTAGTAATATTCTCCAGATATAGTGTTGGAGTGGTTGGTACTTTTGTTTAATAAATGTATGAAAGAGGGGAAGGTACCTAGGGATTGGCGGAGGAGAGCATGTATAGCCCCTTTATATAAAGGGAAGGGAGACAAAAGAAATTGTAAAAATTATAGAGGAATAAGTTTATTGAGTATACCAGGAAAAGCGTCGGTAGGGTTATTATTGAAAGAAAGGTAAGACAGAATGTAGGATTGCAGATGAGCAAGTAGGTTTCAGAGTGGGTAGGGGATGTGTAGATCACGTGTTTACATTGAAGCATGTGAACGTATTTAGATAAAGGTAGGGAAGTTTTTATTGCATTTATGGATTTAGAAAAGGCATATGATAGAGTGGATAGGGGAGCAATGTGGCAGATGTTGCAAGTATATGGAATAGGTGGTAAGTTACTAATGCTTGTAAAGAGTTTTTTATGGGATAGCGAGGCTCAGGTTAGGGTGTGTAGAAGAGAGGGAGACTGCTTCCGGGTTAAAAGTAGGCTTTAGACAGGGATGTGTAATGTTGCCATGGTTGTTAATATATTTATAGATGGGGTTGTAAAAGAAGTAATGCTAGGGTATTCGGGAGAGGGGTGGAAGTAAATTATGAGGAATCAAATACAAAATGGGAAAATTTACCCCGTTACTTTTTGCTGTGATATGTGTTATGGGGGATTCTA